AAGCCAAACGGCTGCAGTACAACGGGATTCATCCGTCCTCTTCTGGTGAGATCGACATACGAATCTCTTTTTCATGCACTTTTATACGAAATCAAAGTCCCACAAACAATCTTTAATATTAGCCACATATGAAGACCCAAAAAGCAAGTAAATTGCTAAAAATATTATAAATGTTTTGCATTTATTATTTTTCTCCTCTTGGGTTTTATAAACTAGATTCGAAGATGATAGTTGTTGGTTTTTCTTTTGATACGTATATTCTGCAGGATTTTTATCGAAAAAAAGTTGCAAAATAGGAATATCGCGTGTTTGTTTAAGACACTTGATTTGCTCTCGAAAGAAGTCGATAAAAGTGCAAACATTAAGTAAAGCAATCGAATGCGCTATTTGTATAAGGAAGTAAGGAGTATAAAATGAGGTATAATGATGACCATTACTTTCGTTTAAAAGTCAAAAAGAAGGATGGCTAACAGCATCAATTGTCAATTATGTTCCGATTGTGAATTATTTAGTATTATGCTTTTTATTAGTTATTAGTTAATTTCAATAGTCCAAATTTTTCTCTTGCTTGCAATGCCTCCAATCAATAAGATATAATGGAAACGGGCCGCACAAACATGCGCTTAGAACATTTTACGAACTAAGAGAATATAGAGCTGGCATTTCTGATTTTTATTGAATTGAGCAAAAATTTAAGGTAAAATGTTGGAACGGGAATGATATCCAATATAGTAAAACAAAAGTACCTTGTCAAATATTATTTATAAACACCAAGTTAAATGATAATATGAATACATTTTTTAATTAGTATAGAAACCTTAGTTCAAAACGAAAATATAAACTCGAGAAAAGACAGAATGTTATTAAACTACACTATTCAATCCAAATTTATTCAATCATGCAGAAACAAAATTTTTGAACAGCGTTAAAAAAGAATTACTTCAACAGGGAAATAGTACTAAGTTAAGCAAACTAGTATGCATTCAAAAGACTGACCAGTTATGGTAGCAGCATCAATATTCACGAGACCAAGGGCTGGCCCATTGACAGGTGAGGTCGATGTCATAACACCGCCTCTTAAGTTTGCATCGGTTTCAAAGTACTGTTTATCCTCGTCTTCGCCATCTTCATTTGTCTCTAGACGCTCCGTCTCAATACACCTGACTTGTACTTGCGCCTTTATATTTGAGGGATAGTTTCCAATAATGGGCCCATGCGCTTGGATACCATTAAACTCATTCCTCCGAATCGTGGTTGGGACACTGTCACGCCTCTGAAATAAACAGAATAAAAAGCGAGATAAATTGTAATAAGCAGCGAATATACTAAAGATATATGTTAATGTAAATATAGATACAAACATATATATATATGCAAATAAATATGAAATAATCACCTAGTGAGCCAAATGTCATTATAAAAAATTATATGTTTTATCGTATCATTAGCTAGAATGGGCAATGAAAAGCGATAATAAATTTGCATGGCTCTTGAGGGAGCGAAGTGGATAAAAAAGGAGCACTCGGATAAATTAAGGAATGTTGGTGCATAAATAGATCTATATGTTTTAACCATGCAGCGAATGCAAACTAAAGGCATTGACAAAGAAACAGATAATGGAATGAGTGGAGTAGTTACAGAAGAACAACAGGTTTAGAAAATACCGTCTTGGCTTAATGTTAGCTTAAAGCTATGGCAAGAATGAGTTTTGGCTTGGAAAATGTCTGAAATATGACGAACGATAGCTCAGTCCGTTTTCAGCAAAAGAAGACAGGATGATTCGTCAAGTGTGTCAAGCTAAATGTCGTATTGACGCTAAACGACACCAGGGCAATTTGAATCAATCATCGTATTCAATATCTTCAAGTTGCACACTCACTAAGAGCCTCCAAAAATATGTTATCTTAAGAGATTAGCCGAAACCTAATTACTCTTCATATAAACAAAATTGATTTTTGAGAAAAAATGTTTTCGAGACTATCCGTAAGCTTGAGCAAGGACGTAGTCATCCTAGATCGCTTACGGTGATTTTAGAACTAATAGCTGAGTCTACATATAATGACATGAGTAGGCCTCATTGTACCATTGAATCCGACTTAGAATTGCCTATTTCATCCAGAATAGACAATATGTTCGCTCTAGCTCAAGATTCGATACCAGGTCGTGAGTATCATGGAGATGCTAACACTCCACTTCACTAAACGAGCGCGGATGCCATTCGGTAGGAGGGCAGACGTAACATTCAGTGCAAGTCAGGCCTATCGAAGCTCACATTTTTTAAATAGCGTGATTGTAAAGTAATCAAATATGTGTTTGCAATTCCAATCGATGACATTACTTATTTTTGATATAAGTGGTTTTCGAGACTATCCGTATTTCTTGATTGACAGCTTGGTCACTGGATGAGATAGTCTTTTGGAAGCCCAGGTAAAATCAAATTCGATGGCATCATGAGGGTTACTCGTATAACTGTGGGAAAAACATAATTGGGTGAATAAGCTCTTACTAAAAAAAATTAGGAATACAGTGTTATATCAGTTCGAGAAGGAATTTGAATGCTGAAACTATAGGAATCCTCCTGTTATTTTGAATATGGATTGAAAATGTACAATAAGAGTAACTCCTAATTAATTTATCTTTTTTCAAGCATATAACTAATATGGGGATAGTTGATTTACGAATACAATTGCTAATAGCGAATTTTAAAATCAAGGAACCAGAACGCATTTCTACAATATGTAGGACCCTGATTAAATGATCTGCAAGTAAAAGCTTTCTTTTGGTTTCAACATTAGCCAAAACAAAAT